TTCATTTTAAAACAGTTAGTTCCAGTTTGAAATGCAATTAACAATTCCATCAACAGTATTGTGAGGCAAGATGCAGGTTGAAATTACATCTCAAAATGCAAACAAAGCCAATTAATACATTATGAAATTGCATATGCAATGCAATATTATTGAATGGTATACCATGAAATTGCATTGTAATTTTAAAAGATTGCACATTAAAAAGCAGTTCATTGGTTCGTCATACCTGTCAGTGAATGAAAAGACAAACACTGCAGCATTTGCATTGGACCTGCATGCCTACAATAAAATAAAAGCTTTTTTTAGATGTAAGAGTAAACTTGTGCTACATTTTAATTACAAAAATCCAGGACTTTTCAATAAAATTCTAAAGCACAAAAAAGGGACTATATGTTGTATCTTTTAAATCTTATTTTCATGGGTTTCTGAAGTCTTTTCAGCTGTGACTTTTCAAAAGACTGCAACAGACTCAAGAAGTATGGACTCCTTAAACTTGATGTCAAATCAGCTTCGTCTAAAACACAAACAAAATATTTTTGTCCAGTTGTGAACTAGAATCCATTTTTTTGTCCTCTGCTTGAAGCTTTATTCCTGTAAACTGCAACATGGGATCCTACCAGCTCTAACCAACAGCCCCACTCCCACCGAACATGCACCTAATGCCAAGCTCATTTTTAGTTATGATTTTAAATGTGGTATATTCCAGGAGTTTTGGAGGTTTTCCTACTTTCAAAAGCCTTTCAAGTGTCCTTAGAAACAAGTTTTCAATTCCAGGGATTTTTTAAGCACAACAAACACTGTTAGACATTTATAAATGAAATAGATATTTCAAATAGATAGCAACATGCTTACAGGCAACAAATGGTCATATTTCTTCATAGCATGATCACCACAGTCCCAAAACTGGAATCTGAACATAAGTACTCTTGACGAACTCATCAGCTGAAATCACATCCAATAATTATAAGCAATGGATATGAAAAGTCAACCAAACAAATGCCTTTAGTAGTCTCCTATGCAGCCCATCCTTGCATAGGTCTTCTTGTCCCTTCAAAAAGAAGGGTGAAAATTTGACAAAATTGCAAGTTGCGACTGTGAGAGTGACAAAGTATGTTACAGTTAAAGCAGACTTACTTTGACTGGCCAATAGATGACAGTTGTCTGGATTCCTGGAGTTTCAATGTGAGTCAATGGAATTTCTACATTTGAAAAAGACAATATCCAAGTTTACTTATTATTTTTCAAACCAATTCACGACTTTCAAAAATAGTGCGATGTGTCACGGTCGTCGACCAGGGCACTGGGGACGAAGCACTTAAACGAGGTCTCAAAGGCCAGCCTCCATATAGTGAGCTTCCATGGTGTCTTGCAAGAGTGTTTTGTTATAAATAACATACCAATACATCTTTCAAACATTTGGACACTGCCTACATACGATCTTCATAGTGATTTCTTGATGGAAGGCCTTTGAGGTCTCGTTTCCATGATTCGTCACTAGTCCCCAATATAGGCGGACGTGAACTGGCGCCATTTTTGAAAGTCGTGTATA